TAAATGTGGCATTAGTAGTTAGGAATGTCCACTCTGGAGCCAGGCTGCCAGGGTTCGAATCCTGGGTCCCCTGTGTGCCAGCTGTGTGACTTGGAGCCACTTAACCTTTCTGTGGCTTATTTCCCCACCTTATAGCCGTATCTTCCTGGAGCATAGTAGATCTGTGAATGTTAGCTATTGTTATTTGTTTGTGTAGCTACCTCAGTGCTGGCACGTAGAAGGTACTGGAAAAAAAATGTAGTCCACTCAACAACATTTACCAAGTGCCTGCCTTGTGTCTAGCACTGTCCTAGGAGCCGGGGACAGGGCTGGATTGTACATCATTTGGTGGGGGGGGAGGCATTAACACTGGCCAGAGCTACACTGACCAGCACCATCAGTAAGGTCCTCTGGAGGTTATAGGTTAGTCTGAAAGGAGATAAACAGGTACATCTGTTGGGTGTTATTTAGTAAATGAATAAATAAGATTATTTCCGACGGTGAGAACTGTTCTGAAGAAAATAAGACAGCGATTTGTGATAAAGAGAGATTGCGGGGGAGGGTACTCTAGATTGGGCAGTCAGGAAGGCCTTGTGAGGAGACAGCATTTCAGATGAGATCTGGAGTTTGTCCAGGGTCCCACCTCGCCAAGCCCGATGATAAAGATTCCAGTCAGAGGGAACGGTAAGGCCATGAGGCCAGTGGTCTTTGGCTCGTGTGCTGGTTGTTTCCCGGTGGCCCACTGTCCTTCCACCCCTGGACGGCATCACCTGGGTGTCCTTCCTTCAGGCTCCTAGTTGGCTCAGCTGATGAGAGGTGCTGACAGCAGATCAGAGGGCAGGAAGAGAGCGAGGCTGGGGTATTTCTCCCCCTCCCCCACTCCTGCTGGGCCCTGGTTTGTCAGTGGCTTTATTCCTCTACCCAAGGCCACAGCTTCAGCCAGGCGGCCTCCTGCACTACAGGTCTTGGCAGGTTCCCATAACGCCCCTCCCTGCACCTTGTCCTTTCAATCCGAGGGGTCTCGGCTCCCCACTGCTGCCAGTCCCTGGTGCCTCGCCGCTCCTTGTTAGTTCCCTTCCCTTTGCCCACGTCTTTATAAACGCCCTTCATCAGGTGCCCTCACGGAACCCTTTTCAGTGCATCACTTGTGTGCTACCAGGGCCCTAACCTGTGCAGCAGGTCCCAGGAACAGCAGCGGTATGACTGGAGTGAGGGCGTGGGGAGTGACATGGGATGGAGTCCAAGAGTGATGGGGGTGGGCAGATCCCAGCTAGCCCTGTGGGTTGGAATAAGGACCGGGACATTTCTTCCCAGGGGAAAGAGAAGTCTTTGGAGAGCTTTAAGCGGGGGAGTCACATCACTGCATATACCTTTTTGGAACTGAACGGAGACTGCTCACCTTTTTGCATCCCGACACTTTGTTTTTTGTTGTCTTAAGATTCAGTTTAGCATCGGAGAAACACTGTTTGCTATCAACTCTGTGGCTGTCTCTTGGGATTTTCCTCTCCCGAGAGAGTCCTCAGTTTGGCTGTGAATGCTGAACGTCCTCGACTGAAGAGTCAGGCTCTATTTAAAGTCAGTGCCATCAGTGATGACAGTGGTAATTTGGCAGCTTACCCAGCGTAGGAGGCTTCTGCCGTCCCATCTGCTACAAGACCTGCAGTCTTGCTTTTATAGTTGGAGGAATAGGACTTACTTTTTTTTACCACTACGCACATTACAAACAAGATGGTAATTTTTGGAAACAGGCCATTAAGCTGACAGGTAGCTCTGCTTTTCCGTTCCTTGGACTCAAAAAGGAAGGCTCCCAAGCCTGTCTCCCCAGATGGGATGGGGCATGTTGACTCAGGGCTTTTTGACGTTTTTCTCTGTGTTGTTTAACCAGGCTTATGAGTGGGCTTTTCCTTCGTAAAGTAACTGGCACTTTAATTTCTTTACAGCTGCTAAAGGGAGGGACCTGGATTGCTGGGTTATTTTATTTCTTGCTTCACATTTAGGATTATTTATTCTTGTTTGCTTCTCCACTAGGACCATCCTGAACATGGGGTCCTGTTTCTTGTTCGAGAGCTTCTCAACGTGATCCAGGACTATACCTGGGAAGAGAGTAGCGATGATAAAATCCGCATCTACACCTGTGTCTTACATCTCCTCTCTGCCATGAGCCAGGAGACCTATCTCTACCACGTAGACAAAGGTACCTGAGTTTCCCCTTCCACACTGTGTGCTT